AAGTAAAGGGGGGTTTTTCGAATCCCTGATTCCCATGAAAACTTTTAAATAAAAAGTAGATTAGAAAATTTAAATTACTACAACCAAACAGAGGTTGTGAATTCACCAGGGATCCCTTCAAGGAACGTTGCCAAATTACCCCTCACCCACATGACTTTCAAATGGATGGCCTTGGACATAAATTTAGCAAAAAAAGGGGGGGTGTTTGTAAAATGATAGAAGGAACCCGGAACATGTTGTACATTTATTCCTGAGACAATACTGGACACTCGAATGGTTAAGGTTACTTCTGGCCTATAAAAGAATTGGATGATCTCGTCCAGTTTGAGTTGAAAAAGATCTTCAGGGAATCACTGACTTAGTGGGGATACAATATTATCAGTTGGATGAGGTGGGGTGGCAAAAGATACTTGCCCAAAATAGAGTGGTAACTGTACAAATAATTCTGACTTCTCCTGGCTCCTGGTTGTATGCTGTGTTATACCATGTGTGCAGGAAATTGATGAGCAAATCTGTAGACCACAGCAACATTTACATTCCTGAAACAGGAAGTGCAACGAAGGAGATCCCCATATGATAGATGAGAGGATAAACCCTTAAATACCCCCATTACGGTCCCTTCCCCGCCAACAGTACTCTCACAATTTTTGTAGGGATAGGCCATCTGACTTCCTTATGTACAAAGTTCTGTGGCAATAGGGGGGTGATGGAAATTGTCATCAGCCGTCTAACGTACCAGCATAAACTGAGTTCCAAAGGTACATAAGGTCAAGATTGAGCAACGGCTAGTTATTAAGGGACAGAGTAAAATAGTCAATTTTAAAGGGGGGACCTGTGATTGGAGTTGGTAAAAAGGCTCTATTTTCGTTTCTATTGACATATATATATAGATAATATATAGATATATATATATATATATCTACTCATACGGCTATTTCTATAAGTTTTTATAAATATTTACTTTTATACATTAATACATCAGTTGTGAGAATATTTTTCTGCCTGCCTGGCTTTGTAGGTACTATAAGAAAATCATTGCTTAAAGAAACTGGTCTGCTCACACTACCACAGACCCCCTCCCAGCGTGTTGATATTGGGAAACAAAGGAATGTGTTTTTTTCTTTCTCTATGGATATCAGACGATAAGAAAGAAGATCACACCATATACCCATGACGGAGATTGTTTTCGTGTGGAAATGCCCAATCAAAAGACTAATATACATGCTTATGTGCGGTGTCACATGACCTCGCCTCCTTCTGCATATATAAAGATCCCTTTCTCATTTACAATAAAACTAGAAGTATTCATATACTGAACTTGTGGGTCAGCGCGAGTCCCCTTGCACATGTGCGCACATTTCTAAGGCTAGCGTCATCAAATTAAGGAACAGGAAACAGATAAGCATCTGGACGATTTCAGTCCAGTGAACTAAGGCACCCATAAACTGCAGAAACAACCGCTGACATTATTAAAACAGAGGGGGGCAGAAAGGCTGCTAGCTGACAATACCTATGTATTAAAGACGGACAATTGACTACTTTTTTTCAGAATAAGGGGACACCTTACGACATTTAAACCCTGAGTTTCCACGCTGCTGAAACTACTCATGCAACTTGCTGCAATGTACAACACAGAAAGTCACATGAAACAAGTCAAAACGCATTTATTTCAATGGGTGCCCTCTTAATTTTTCTGCGAATCAAAGTTGCGCGAGAAAAAAAAAAAATTCCTCCACTACTTTTCTGCGTCTTCCTTTTTCCTCCAATTTTTTAACCCTATACTCCACTCCCATTCCATTTTCTGCTGTATACCTGCGGCCCAGCCCATCCCTGCAGCTCAAAATCACCTCCCAAAGCATCTTCACCTCCCAAAGAACATTGTTCACCTAGCCAGCACATTGTACAGCTGTGTTCACAGTGCAGGGAAAGATGGCTTCCAAGAGACTGGTGATGTTCTTGACAATGAACAACTCAAACTATGTGAACGTCCTGCAATTTTTTTTTAGACAAGTTACCCGAAATATCAAGACCAAGGGCTCATGTACACTGCAGCTGATAAACTCACGTTTAGAGCTGTTCAGCGTTTTTTTCAGCAGCCCCTAAACTCTCCCTAATGTTTTCCTATGTGTCCATGTACACATCTTCATTTACAGGCAGTTGAGTTTACAGTTGTTTTTTTGAACGTAGAAAACTTGCATTCAGCAGTTGAATTTATCAGCGTTTCAAACGCGTTTACAGGCGTTTGCAAACTTTTTTTTTTTAACTCTTCCATTTCCAGATGCTGTCCAGAGTCTTTTTTCATCATGAAAAATGCATGCAAAGCGTTTTCCTGGTACTCAAATGGACCTAGCACAGGTTTTGCATGAAAAAAAAAAAAAAAACAATGTTAGACACTGCTGCAATAATTTCTGCACAGAAATGAGCTGGAGCACATCCAAACACCACAGAAAAAAAAAAAGGCAACTAATCTCAACAAATACTGCTCTCTCTGCTTCTGCTCTCTCTATTTCTCTCAAAATCTCTGAAATAGTTAATGTTTTACTTTTTTTCAGCGCTTTGTGGGCATTTTGGAAGGTCTCCTGAGGTTATCTTTAAAAAAAAGGCTTCTAAACGCAAACGCGCATAAACACGGTATGCAAACGTGGCTAAACAGACGTTTTTTAACCTATGTTTTCCAGCAGTCAGTTTCCATCGTTCAGAAGTGTCCCGTGTACATGGGGCCCAAGGAAAGCGAGATTGAGCATGGTTAGAGGTAGCAAGATTCTTCCATAAGAAGTTGGATAGCTTTTTGGCCACAGAACAAAAAGTAAGTTCAATAACATGATTTGGTATATATGCCGTGATGACTGATGCCGTGACATAGATCACAGAGAACATGACTGCTAAGCACCTTACAGTTCAGGGAAACAAGGAAGTAAAAAGGAAATCAGTGTAGAAGGAAGAGGAATTGTGTCACGCTCTGTATTGTTATGTTCTGCTAAAGTCGCAAAACACTAAAGACGCATTGAAGTCGCAATGCAAAGTTGGACTGGAAGTCACACAAATTTGGGGTCGCAGCAGTATATAAACCAAGCCTACATATTATGCTTTCAAACCTAAACCAAAAGAGAGAAAATAACTGAGGTACCAGGAAAGGGGATATGGAATGCAACGATTTTTCCAATACAAAATAACAGTTTTTAGCTGGCAGCCATGGAACACCTCCACATTAATTTTAGTACAGTTTTCACATATCAGCCTGACAATGCTTTGCTTACCACATCAAAGTATGAACGATCAATGGGCAAGAAGCTTTCTCCGCTGTGCAGAAAGAAATTGTTGCTCAGAACAGCTGTTTTAAGTCCTTCAGCTCGGACACATTGAATAGCTTCAGTCATTGCAGGGTGCTGCTTTACCATCTCATTACTGATGAGGTCAGTGAGGAAGCTTTGAACTGGGACCGTGCCTCCTGTCTAAAACATTTTTTAAGTGTTATATCACAATTATATTACATTTATTCAGACAAACGATAAAATGGCATTTATTTTTAACTCACATTTATTGATTTATAGAAATTTTCCATAACAATAAAAGAGGTAGAGGACAATACACAGGGTTCTAAAAATTGCATTTTTTTATACTAACCACTTACATGTTATTTTGTTTCTTCTGTGAAACATCATATTCCTAGCCACCAGTATTATTATTATTATTATACAGTATTTATATAGCGCCAACAGTTTGCTCAGCGCTTTCTTTATTATTATTTAACCACTTGCCTACAGGGCACTTATACCCCCTTCCTGCCCAGGCCAATTTTCAGCTTTCAGCGCTGCCACACTTTGAATGACAATTGCGCGGTCATGCAACACATGACATTTTTATAATTTTTTGAGACAGATAGAGCTTTCTTTTGGTGGTATTCAATCACCTCTGGGTTTTTTATTTTTTGCTAAACAAACCAAAAACAACTGAAAATTTTGTGTGCTAATGAGGCTGCAGTGATGGGCACTGATAGGCAGCACTGATGGACACTGATGGGAAGGCTCTGGTAGGTGGCAATGATAGGCATCACTGATGGGCACTGAAAGGCAAAACTCATATATGGCACTGATAGTCGGCACTGACTGGCACTGCTAGGCGGCACTGACTGGCATTGTTAGGCAGCACTGACTGGCACTGATAGGCGGCACTGACTGGCATTGATAGGTGGCACTGAAAGGCAGCTCAGATGGGCACTGATATGTGGCATTGATGTGCACTGGTAGTCACTGATATGTGGCATTGATGTGGCACTGATGGGCACTGGGAGGTGGCATTGATGGACACTGACAGGTGGCACTGATGGGGCTACACTGATCATCAGGGCACACTGATCTTCAGTGCCCTGATGATCAGTGTACATGTCCCCTCTGAGTAATGCCGATTACCGACTCTCCTCTCCTCACAAGCTGTCAGCTATGAGGAAAGATTAGAGGAACTGAATTTATTCTCTCTTGAGAAGAGGAGATTAACCTCCCTAGCGGTATGATTCTTTCCGATTTTTTGTGCTGAAAGCGGTACCATTTTTTTCGCATGGAAATAGTTTTTTATTGTAGGCTGTAATTTTTAGGAACATTTCCCCACAAATCATTATCACTCAATTCTGCAAGTGGTTCTGATTTACTATCGCTGTTCTCTAACCGGTCTAAAACCGCTTTTGACGTAAAGGGACGCTTTTTGGACGAAATGGACGTTTCTCAGTTTCCAGGCAGAAAGAACAGTAAAAATGCAGGCAGGGCACAGGACAAAGCACTAGGGACAATATGTATGTGAAATGGGATGAAACAGCAATGTTTTACTATTTAAAATATAAAAAAAAAAAAAAACAACATTTTTTTAAATTTCCCGCCACCGGCGGCGCCCGTACGTCCCGACGTCACGGGAACCGGAACACAGAAGCCGGATGCCGGCATCGGCCGGAGGAGATGGCCGGGGATGCTGCAGGGGACACATCGCGGGAGCGAAGGACAAGGTAAGTGCTGCAGGGACTCCCTATGCAGCGCCGCATGGTAAGCCCGAGTCTAGCTCGGGGTTACCGCTTTTGGTATAGACATTTTACCCCGAGCTAGACTCGGGAATACCGTTAGGGAGGTTAAGGGGGGATATGATCAATATGTATACATATATCAGTGCTTCATATAGTGAACTCGGTGTAGTTATTCACCCTGAGGTCATCACAGAGGACAAGGGGGCACTCTTTACGTCTGGAGGAAAAGAAATGTAATCTCCAAACACGGAAAGTATTTAAAGATTTCTTCACAGTAGGAGCTGTGAAAATGTGGAATAGACTCCCTCAAGAGTTGGTTCTGGCCAGCTCAGTGATTTGCTTCAAAAAAAGGCCTGGATTCTTTCTTAGATACACAGAATATAACTGGATACTAACATTTATAGGTAAAGTTGATCCAGGGAATATCCGATTGCCTCTCGGGGATCAGGAAGGAATTATTTTACCAGCAGGAGCAAATTGGATCATGCTTTGCTGGGGTTTTTTTTTTGCCTTCCTCTGGATCAACTCTGAGGATAGGATTATAACTTTTTTTTTTTATGGGTAAACTGGATGGACGTTTGTCTTTTTTCAGCCAGACTAACTATGTAACTATATGAAAAAAGCCTACCAAAAGCAAACTAATGCAGCCACCACATCTAAGAATTGATTTGCTGCGATTTAATACATTTTTGTTTTTGGGTTTAATGCCACATTTTCTCTCCCACCACAGGAGCAGCTGCAGCCAGTGGGTGGTGGAGGAGGGGAAGTTGCCCAGCTAAGCTGCGGAGAAGGGGGGAATCGGTGAGGGAAAGCCAGTACGGAGGGGAAAGATCTATTTGCAGAGTTAAAATCCCCTGCGGCTCCCCTGCAGCACCCAAAGGTGGCAGGAAGGAACAAGAGAAGAAGCTGGCAGCTGCAGGGGAGCCACAGTGGAACTGTGATGTGGAGGGTTTGGGGGGGTTATCTGTGGTCCTGCGGGGGATCAGTGCTGGGGGGGCACATCAAAGCAGAGAGGAGGTTCATTTTAGAGGACACGTGAAGCGACGGCAGCTCCTCCATGTGTGCATTGTGTGGTAGAGCACAGTGGGCCCCTTCCCCCTCAGGGCCCATGTGCACTGCACACATGGATGATATGCCACTGAGGCCATGGGTCACACACCAATCACATATACTGTATACAGATGCTGACAATGCAGTGCTAGATTTTGATAAGTCTAGAGGATACCATTTAAGCAACAATGTCACCTGCTTACAAAGCACAGACCTGTTTATAAAAAATAACTGAAATTGTCAGATAATTGCACTGTGTATGTGGTTTCTGAAAAGAAAGTTAATTTCTCAAAATGCCTCCAGCAGCTAAAACTCACAATCTTTGAACAGAGATGTCCAAATTCTTCCACAAAACCTTGAGCAGATAACTCTCCTCTCATGTATTTCATCCAAGGTCCACCGTCACCACCGGTTAGAATGGCTTGCTTTATGGTGCCCCCAGGAACATGGTTACGAATTTCCCACTCTGTGTAAGAGATATAGATACAGTGGTGAATGCATCAGTATCACTATCTAGGGAAAGAGAAAATACAACTTAAAGTGTTACTAAATCCACAACAGTAAAATTAGTCTGTATGTGCTGTAAAGCATGCTTGTTATACTCACTGTGGAACCTAAGGGGTTAATCCTCTGCATTGTTTAAAAATTCTGTTTGATCCTGTCTTCTCTGATCCTCCACTTCTTCCAGTGTCTCCCTCTTATCCCCTGATGAGTCATATGGTGTGGAGAAACTGCATAAGCTAAGTTTGGTGTGTACTGCTAGACAGTTTTTTTTCCTTGGGAGAGTGCATGTGATCAGCACAGGGCCACTCAGAACTGCCCAGACAAAGGTCAGGGGTTCTGCATCCTTCTAGAGAAAACTCCTCCTACAAGCTGTAACCAGTGCTCTGCTGAAGTCACAAGACTGCTCTAACTGCTGATGAGGAAAGGTATTTAGCAGTTCATATTTAAAAAAATAATTGCACTTCCATGTTCTGTGTACTGTGGGAGACCAGATATAGTGAATGCAGGGTCCTGGGTTTAGTAACACTTTAAATTGATGTATTATGTTACTACTGTAGATCCAACCATAAATACACACATACAGTATCTAACCAAGGCAACTGATTCAGCCAAAACTGGATAGAGCGGGGATGGATCACAACATAAATTTTGTATATTCTTGTCTTTTACTCCATTGCTGTGAAGGATGGAAGGGTCTCAAACAGACAGAAAGTCAGGGAACATCTGTCAATGGGGACAGAAACAGCAACAAAAACTTTTTTTTATTCTATTTAAGTCAAACTAAAAGCAACTTTTTTTAATTTTAGATAAAGTAAGTGAGGCTCAGTGATAAATTAAACCGGGAGACATTAGGGTGAATTTCCCTAATGATGACACAGACAGCCATAAAAACCTCCACTCAATACAAAACTAAAAAAGTTATACTTTAAAGCAGAAAAGGTTAGAATTCCTACAGCCATTTTTATCTTCATTTGCTGATTACACCTGATCTCCTTTTTTTCTTGCCCTGGTATCACCAGGGCAGGAAGTAAGGGGAAATCTCACCAATGGGATCACAGACAACTAAATATTGTATGTCTGATCAAAGGTGTAACCATTTCCTATTTTATCTAAAAAAAAAAAAATTGCCCGAAGTTGGCCTTTAAAAATTTTTTTTCTAATATTCTCTGTAAAAAACATGCTTTTATTTACTACACCAAAGGTCAGTGTACAAAGTACAGTGATCCATGGCAACCAGAAATAACTGCTCTTTAGTCTAGGAAAAAAAAGTCATGAGGTGAAATCTCATAATACGTAACTAGATTTCTTAGCATTTGAAGAATTTTAATAAAACATGCTGTTATTCTCACCTTCAGCGAATTTGTAGGGTGAAGGTAGAAGAACACCTCCCATATCAAAAACAACTGCCTTATATCCTTGAGTAGATGCATGGCCCCATCTTATTGGACTCCACTGTTGCAACAAGCAGCGTCTCCAGGCCGAAGGATGTTTGCAAGAAGCTTGAAAAACTCTGGTTATCAGCATTGTACCTAAGGAAAGAAGATGTAAGAATAATATAACACAGCAAAATGATTAATTACCTGGAGTGAAACTTGAAGTGCCGCTCCAAGCAAGAGGGCACCACATAATTGCAATGGCACCTCTCTACAATCCTCTATGACAGTGGTTCTCAACCTTCCTAATGCCGCGACCCTTTAATACAGTTCCTCATGTTGTGGTGACCCCCAACCATAAAATTATTTTCATTGCTACTTCATAACTGTAATTTTGCAGTGGGAGGAGTAGTGCCACATCATTGGTGTCAGTGAGAGGAGTAGTGCCACATCACTGATGTCAGTGGGAGGAATAGTGTCCCATCGTTGGTATCAGTGGGAGGAATAGTGCCACATTGTTGGTGTCAGTGGGAGGAATAGTGCCCCATCGTTGGTATCAGTGGGAGGAATAGTGCCCCATCGCTGGTGACAGTGGAGGAATAGTGCCCCATCGCTGGTGACAGTGGGAGGAATAGTGCCCCATCCTTGGTGACAGTGGGAGGAATAGTGCCCCATCGTTGGTGTCAGTGTGGAGGAATAGTGCCCTATCATTGGTGTCAGTGGAGGGGGGGGGGGGATAGTGCCCCATCATTGATACTAATGTGGGGGGGAATTGTGCCCCATCACTGGTGAGGGGGGGGGGGGGGGGGGGGGGGGGTAGTGCCCCATCATTGGTGTCAGTGGGGGGGAGGAATAGTGCCCCATCATTGGTGTCGGGGGGGGGAAGAATAGTGCCCCATCGTTGGTGTCAGTGGGGGGGAGGAAATAGTGCCCCATCATTGGTGTCAGTGGGAGGAATAGTGCCCCATCAATGGTGTCAGTGTGGGAGGAATAGTGCCCTATCATTGGTGTCAGTGGAAGGGGGGGGGATAGTGCCCCATCATTGATACTAATGTGGGGGGGAATTGTGCCCCATCATTGGTGTCGGGGGGGGGGTAGTGCCCCATCATTGGTGTCAGTGGGGGGAGGAATAGTGCCCCATCGTTGGTGTCAGGGGGGGAAGAATAGTGCCCCATCGTTGGTGTCAGTGGGGGGGGAGGAAATAGTGCCCATCGTTGGTGTCAGTGGGAGGAATAGTGCCCCATCATTGGTATTAGTGACACCAATGATGGGGCACTATTCCTCCCACTGACACCAATGATACTTACCTTGCTGACTCCTGCTCCAGCCTGGGCTCGCTCCCTCCCTCTCCCATCTACAGCCAGCATACCTGGCTGCAGCAGCAC